CCCTCCCCAGGATGCAGGAGCGGGACTCCTTGCCGCCGCCATGATCGCGGTCGTGCCCGGCTACATCTCCCGATCCGTTGCCGGCTCTTACGACAACGAAGGTGAGTTCCCAACGCTGGGAAACCCTCAGCGACTGGGAAACGGCGCCGCAGGGCCCGGAGAGGAGCCCCCGCCGCCTCCCTGCGCTCTTCTCGGGGTTGAGGAGGGGGAGCGCGGCTCCTCCCCCCACCCTCCGCCGGGCTTTTCTCCGTGGTTTTGGGACCGGCCAAGGCGGCAAACTCCTCCTCGATGCCTGGAGTGGGAGAGGATCTTGATTCTTCTCCCATAACTCAGCTTTTGGGGGCCGCAAAAGGAGGTGGCTGGCGTGGCTACGAGCAGCCACGCCGGGGCGTTACCGACAGCAATCCGCAGCCATCGCGCGGAAATGGGATCCAAACCCCTTCTCCCAGCTTGGCTTTTCGTCCGAGGGGCTGTTCCACCTCCCGAGGGAGCAGCAGAAGCGTTTTCCTCGATGCATTTTCTCACCCTCCCGGAGATCCTGGTGACGCCTGAGGGCTGACGGGAGCTCGCTCTGACCTTGCCGTGTCCTTCGCGCAGGCATCGCCATCTTCTGCATGCTGCTGACGTACTACATGTGGATCAAGGCCGTCAAAACCGGCTCCATTTATTGGGCAGCCATGTGTGCTCTCGCCTATTTCTACATGGTAAGTGTTGCTTCTCCCGGCACCGAGGTATTTTTGGCTCCTCAGGGTCCGGTAGACCCAAAATCCGCGGCGGTTTGCGGCCTTGGAGGGAAAATCCCGCGTGCGCTCGCAGGGAAATGCCCGAACCTGCCGCCTTTGGGCTCTGCTGCCCCCCTGAAACTTGAGGTTTGGGGGTTTTTTGTGCTCGTTCTGTTTGTTTCTTCTCTTGTTGGGGGTTTGTTGGGGTTTTTTTTGATCGTTCTGTTTGTCTCTTGTCCTGGCAGGTCTCCTCGTGGGGCGGCTACGCTTTCCTCATCAACCTCATCCCCTTGCACGTCCTCGTGCTGATGCTCACCGGCCGCTTCTCCCACAGGATCTACGTCGCCTATTGCACCGTCTACTGCCTCGGGACCATCCTCTCCATGCAGATCTCCTTCGTTGGCTGGTTTTTTTTGATCGTTCTGTTTGTCTCTTGTCCTGGCAGGTCTCCTCGTGGGGCGGCTACGTCTTCCTCATCAACCTCATCCCCTTGCACGTCCTCGTGCTGATGCTCACCGGCCGCTTCTCCCACAGGATCTACGTCGCCTATTGCACCGTCTACTGCCTCGGGACCATCCTCTCCATGCAGATCTCCTTCGTTGGCTTCCAGGTGGGAACCACCGTGGTTTCCAGGCGGGGGGCGGCCATCTTGTGGGGCGGAGCCAAGTGGGCGCCTGGTTTTCTCTTCCCGCCTTCGCCGCCGACTGGTTCCAGCTCCCGTTGGCGCCGACCTCGGGTGAAATCAGCTCTTGGGGGAGCCAGGTGGCTTCCAAAGCGGCCGAGAACCTCCACGGCGCCGCGTGTTTTCGTGAAAATAGTTCCCTTTTCGGTGAAGGGGACCCTCGGGCCTTTGCGGGGCGACGCTTGGGCGGTGATTTTTGGCGGCCGCCGGGCGCGGCGCGATGGCGCTTCTCCCTCCCTCGCAGCCTGTCCTCTCCTCGGAGCACATGGCCGCCCTCGGAGTCTTCGGCTTGTGCCAGATCCACGCTTTCGTGGACTACCTGCGGAGCAAGCTCAACCCCCAGCAGTTCGAGATCCTCTTCAGGAGCGTCATTTCCCTCGTCGGCTTCGTCCTCCTCACCATCGGCGCCGTGCTGATGCTGACAGGTATACCCCGCGGCGCCGGCGCCGGCCGCCGCCGAAGGGGACGGCGGTTGGGGCCGTCCCAACGCCGCGCCGCTCCGGATCCCCCGCTCTGAGGTGGGAGCCTGGGATCTCCTCTCATTTGGGCGGCGGCAGGGGGATATTTCGGCGGCAGCTCCGAGGTCTGGGGCGTTGGGGGTCGTTCGGCAACCGAACGTCGCTCCGTAGGTCGCCGAGATGGTCAAAAATACGAGATGCTCAAAAATACAGCTCGGGGCGGGGGAGGAGCCTGGGTGGGGCAAAATGACGCTTTATTTCCTTGCTAAAACGGCAGGTTTGGGTACTAGAGGTGTTAAACGGGGTCTGGGATCGCTCCTTCGGCCTTGCACCTCCCTGCTCCAACTGGATGCCTTGGTTTTTTGCCTCGTTTTTAGGGAAAATCTCCCCGTGGACGGGGCGTTTCTACTCCCTGCTGGACCCTTCCTACGCCAAGAACAACATCCCCATCATCGCCTCCGTCTCCGAGCACCAACCCACCACGTGGTCCTCTTACTACTTCGACCTCCAGCTCCTCGTTTTCATGTTCCCAGGTGAGCCCAGCGCGCCCGGCGGCAGACCCGGGTTTATTAC